TGTCACAGTCAGGCATGAGTATCACCTGAACAACAGGTGTAGGTGTAATCCTTTCTTGTGGTAGAAATCTTTTTCCTCACATGGGGAAAGAGAGATGCCTGCAAGTCTGTGGACTCACTAAGGATGACGTGCTGAGCTTGAAAAAAATGCAGCAGATTATTTTATATCCATTGCCCACTTCTTCACTGAAGGGTTCTAATCCCTTGTCCTCTTTTCCCTGTGGTACCCTGCTTACTGTAGGCTGAGACTCCTGCCTGCCTGATCCCAACAGTGCTGGGTTTATAAGGTCACCAGGTTAAAGCCCGAGGCTTGAGCTGGTGCTTAACATCCAGTGTCTATTTTTACAACCATTTTTTCTCTCTCCTGCTTCCTTAATTAGTATTTAAATATTCCAAGTGAAGTGGAATAGGTCAAAGAGAAGCCATTAATGACCTGAATCCAGAATACTCTATAGCTTATTTACTGGAGTGCTCATCTGGGGAGTGCAACAGACATGGCAAAATCTACCAGCTCTCTCATTTAGAGCACACTGCACTGAGGTTTCTCACATCCCAACTGCATTGCCCTAGCAACAATATTATTATTTAAAAGTGAACAACCTCTTTTTTTTTTAGTATTGTAACTAGCCCTCTGCTTTTAATATGCCTAGCCTTAAAAAGGCATTTCACATTAAATATTTTATTTAATTTTTTGTCCTATTAGCAGAATAAGATTGTTGTACATAAAATAGTTATGAAGTGACGTAAATACAGAAAATTACTCTTTTCACCTGAATGAGTCTGAGCAGAATGAGTTTATTTATTAATTTTGGATGTTTTATTTTGTTTTGTTTCATTTTTCTACTAGAGCAGTAGAAGATGTAGCAGTTGAACTGTAAAATCAAGTCCCCATCCTGAACCATGGACTCCTAAACTTACTAAGTTTCAAGGAGATAATGCCTCAGCCCACAAATACAAAGAGTATTTTACCTAAGCTGCCAGGACTACAAGCTCACTCTGGATTCTGAAAGCCACACGATGTTCTCCTCAAAGTTGTCACCAATTGTCAAGGTTTATTCATACTTACGAGACCTTATGGGTCTTCAGATTGTATCCTAAGTGACAACTCTGAAACCAGAGGAATAGTAAGAATCTCAGAGTTTTAGCTGTTTGGAATTTAGCAAATCAATCTGTTGATGTAAAGGTGACATTTGCGACCTGATGGGGCAGTCCTGTGTGCATGAGAAATTGTGATGTGCAGTCAGAGGCATATATCCCTGGAGTAATCTTTTTATAGAAATGCATATATATAACTTTTTTAAGTTCCCATCCTCATTGAAAATCAATACCAATCACAACCCAAAGTGCCAAGAGGCTTCAGCAGACATGTGGCAGTGGATTAAAATTGGATGGCTGAAATTGTAGCAGCCTTCAGCTGCACCCTCCACTCCTGTGATGGATGTTGCCTCTCCCAGAGCAGGGACAACTGATCTGCTCATGAATCTCCTGATCCACTGCAGCACTCATCAACAGTAAACTGACTTGGGTTCAGGCTGGCTGTAATATGGACACAGAAATTTGTCTTTAGAGAGAAAATGTTTATTGTATGGATGGCAAGGATACCTAGGAAATTTCAGCAATCAGATTTTAACGCGCTGCTGAACAACCTCTGCTAATTGTAAATGTAGAGCTCAGTAGGCTCCATCAGGTGATTTCAAAGCAACAAAAATGCCTGTCTTTCTCAGTCCCCCACTAGGCACCCGAATTCCCACTGACCACTTGAGCAGGAGTTCTGCCTAACTTTGGCACTTTTCTGAGAAAAAGGAGAATCACTGCTGCCTGAACTGATGAAAACATTGCATATACATCCCCTTTTCCTCTGTTGTCTAGCTTCATAAGTATTATCACTGAAGGTTTGCAGAGAAAGTTAGAACTGGTGGAAGGTGGACAGAAATGAACAGAGCACCTAGACACCTGAAAGCAAGAATGAGCCAGAGAAAAGCGTGAGGATAACACCTTGGGTACTACAATAATAGAATGCTTGTGGAGAGAGGGAGATCATTTCAGTGTTACTGTCTCTTCATTTTGGAGTCATGAAAGGATGATGGTATCAATATGCAATCCACCCTACATGAGATTATGTAGCAGCAAACAACATCTTTCTCAGGAATCATCAAAAAAAACTCTCCAGTCAATTTTTTTATATGGGTATCTAGGGACACAAAAATCTAATTTCTATTTCCTTTAGGACATCCTGTCTGGGTTTTTTTTTTAGGCAGTTCCAAAGTTACTGTCCTGTAGATTTTGCCTGCCAGTCCTGCGAGGATGTCTTTGATAATGTAAAGCATTTAAAACAACACTGGAGATCTCAGGCCCCTGAATCACACTGCAAGCACCTGTATCAGGAACTTCCAGCAGTATAACAGTATTTTCCTAGCTTGACTTGCAGTCAAATTTGAATCAATAGCTGTTCACTCACACTTTAATGAATGCAATGACAGCTATTTTATTGTATAACATCCTGAGTTTTTAAAGGGAAATCTGACTTGACTACATCAACAGCCAAAAGCTTGCCATAGATAACCTTCTAGCATACTTGAGCTCTGTCTCTGCGGCATTGCTCTGATTGATAAATCATCAGTTACTCTTTTCTTCACCAAAGACACAGTAGTCTGAGTGACTGGTAATTATAAGTTTACATTTACACGCATAGAGTTTTAATTGTTTGTATTATAACTGCAAATATCTGCCACTAGGATGTCCTTGAAGACATGCTGTGGTACTAATCACATTTGTCAAGATGAGACAGTACCTTTCTATTCTCTCTTACACATCATAAACTCTGACTGATATCCCCAAGGGGAAAAAATGCATAATGTGTCATTTATGACCTGTTACATGCACAAATTACTTGCACCGTGTATGCAGTAGAATAACAAAATACTATTGATTTTAAATTTGACTTAGAAAGCTGATCTTTATTCTTAGTTGTCACTTGGCAGATTTTTTTCTCCTGCTGTGAATTGTTTGATCTAAAATTTTTGTTTGGAGAAATGGAAGCTGTCATGGTTTTATAATGTTTTTTAAAAATGTATATATGTTCTATCCTAGGAAATAGACATTATTTATAAGCAGAATAAATATTCTATAAATAATAATAAATTTCAAATGAGTAACAAAAAACATGTAATATGCCAATCTTGTTTTGCTTTTACAACTCTGCTGTGCAGCAGAGCAGTTTTTCAGGGCTTGAAGCAAGGCACCCATCCGCACCAAGATGCTTGTGCAGAAGCAAAATTAAAAGGCAGAGCTAAGGCAACTACTCATTAATACAATGCACTACCTAATAAAATTTAAAAAAGAATTCTAGAACTGATTAGGATATCAATTTGAAAACCCAACAGATATGACAGATTAAGAATTAGGGAACTTCTTCCACCAAAATTGTCCTTCCAAATTTTATATGTTTTGGTCACATACACAGAGGAGCATTTCAGTATCACTTTAGGATATTGTTTTAACATTCTACAGGAAAGGAACATATCCAGTACTCATTAGCATAAAGATCGGAAGATTTGTTTGTGCAAAATAGGAAGGAAAATGTATGTACGTATGGTAATATTAATGATTCTCTCCTTTCTTCATTTATTTCTTTAAGAATATAAAGACTGTGATTCTCAAAGAGCATCTAAATACAGCTTGTGATGGTAAATGTTGGAAAGTCTTCAATAGCCTGTACCTTAGATCCAGCAAAAATTTTTAGTGACTATTTGTCATTTCCTATGTCAGAAGTGAAATTAAATCTGCTTACCTTCACATAGAGCAACTCTGTCACACAGAAAATATCATTTTTATAGGTTGTATCAACTGTGACATAAGAGCAGCAAAAAGCAAAGATCTGCACAAACTAGGTGTCACCTGATTCCTTGAAATTGTAGATGTCTGTGTGGGCAAGGGTGCCTTAAATCACTCAAATTAATTTATGCAAGTTGGTGTCAACAACCAGACCAAGAACACATTTAATATATCTATGAAGATTTTAACTGTAACATGCATGAAGATATTGCAAACTAAGTGGAGATACTGTGGTCTTCTATTCGTTTGGACTGTAGTGTTCAGAATACTTTTATTATTTTTACTGTATATGATGGAAAAAAATGTACCTCCCTAGATGTTTAGGTAATCAAAATGCATTTTATGAAGCAGATTAAGTTGAGAACTTTCAGATACAGTTAGGTTTCAGTTACCATCATTTTGGTTTGTGTGCAGAATTAACGTTTATGTCCAGAATTAGCATTTTTAGTACCTCAGGAAGTAGGTTAAGTCAGTACTGTTACTGTCCATTACATAGTTAATGAATGTCAGCTGGTCACTTAGCTAAGTAACATTCAACTTCCTACCAGCTTTTTATTACCGATCCTTTGCTTTCTGCAATCAAGTCTGCTTTGCCATCATAACTCTTGTTTCTTAGGAGAGTATTTAATTAAGTGAAAAATTCCACAAACAAAGGTATTTTAAAATCAGCTACAATTTTATTCACAACTTTTAAGGATCCTGGATGTGGAAATCATTTGTGTTTCTGTTAGATGAAATGAAGTGTATCTATTTCTATTGCTACTGATACATGTCCTTCACAGCAGAATTCCAGCCAAACCTCAAGTGGCATAGATGCATTAGCTCCATTAAAGTCAATGGAAGTTCACTTAATCACATCACCTGAGAATCTGGCCTACAGCCCTTAACAAGACAATTCTTTGGAGGGTAATAATATTTTATGCTTTCATCAATCACACTGTCCTAGGCCTGTAGCTATTTGTGGCAGACTCAAACCTGTCATATAATAAAAAAGGCTGGTTGTGACTATTTCTTCCAGAAAGTCCAAGAACCTTTTATTAGTAATACAATATTTATATTTATTTTAAACATTCTGATGACAAAACAATTTCAAAAGAGCACTCATATTCTTGGCTTTAAGGCTCCCAGTTGTTACTCTGTTTTCCTCTGTTTTGTGTGTTTGTATAGGACACATGTCTACAACCACGACGATAATCGATGGTAAGAACGGCTCCGTTCCTTCGTCATCCATGAAAGTGGGCAAGAAGTCAGTGACAGAAGACCTCGTGACAACGTTCAGCTCTCCAGCAGCATGGCTTCTTGTGGTTGCTCTGATTGTTACCTGGTCAGCAGTAGCTATTGTAATGTTTGACTTGGTGGATTACAAAGACTTAGCAGGTAAAACTTTAGCATATTCTCTTTGACACCTTGTATATTCAAATTTAAAAATGTATTAAGCAGCATCTATTACACAAATATGCCAGTGTTTCACTTCCTTGGGGACAGCACAATGTCTTTGCCGAGTTTACGAAGAGAGAAGATATTGTGAGAAATGTCAGAACACATTAGTTTACACCTCATGCACATTTATAATTTAAGTCTCTCCATTTTGCAGCCCATCCTCATCCTGGAAAATGAATATGTTGACAATAACATAAAATATATATGAGCATTTAAGGTCAGATTTCTATTTTCCAATTTCTAGATAAATTTTTTTCTAGAAAAATGAAATTAATATTAATTCATATTTTCAGAAATATAGTCTTTAATAGCTGCCTTGAGTATTCTGATATTTGCTTACACAGTTCAAAGATCAGAAAAAAGCAGAACATGCTAACCCTAAAAGTGATCTTCAAAAACTATAAGTACAGAGGACCAGATTCTTAATATTAGCTAAGACACACCCTTGTCTTCAATAATCTAGCCTAGTTTTAAGACTTGGATAGACAAGATCAAGCTTTAGGGTACCTATTGATTACAGGGGACAAAGACGAAAATGAAGTGGGTGGTACAAGGACTGTGATTCTAATTGAGGAGCAGAAAAAAAAAAGTGCAGCAAATAGAAATAAATAGAAAGTTTATACCTTTTATCTGGCAGTGATATATAAATTATGAAAATAAATTAACTACCTATGTTTGTAAAGGGTATGTAGTGTTCAGCAGACCTTCAGTAGTAAAACCTTTGTGAGGCTAACAGCCGTTAACATTTGGGAAACATGTATGTGAACCAGAAAACAAATTATTAGGGTCCTTGTCTTCCTTAAATGAGAACTCCAGTTCTAAATTTATCACATCTGTCACAATAATTAACTAGGAATTGAAATTCACATTTCAGCCTTTTAATTCAAAAGAAATTGAGTTGATGTTTTGGAGTAAATTTCCTGGACTTTATTAGTTTACTGATAAATTCATAGATTTTTTTTGTCCTGCTATATATCAATATCGACTTCAAGATTTACTTAGAAAGCTTTTGAAACACATATAGATCTTGAAAGAGACCAACAAATCCCAGATCAATAGATGTCACAGAGCTTGAAATGTGGAGAAAATATACCACAAAACTTTCTTAAATTTTCTTCTCATCTGTCTTTGATTTCAGAAGGACATCTCTGGAGTACCAGGAAAACATAAAGTTATTTTTGAGACATCCTTCCAAAATAAGCATCAGATTTCAGTTTGGACACCAAACACTTGATGCTACAACAGAGAGACAAACTAAGAGAAACTGTTATATTCAACTTCAGTTTTCCATATTAAATATTAATCAGTCAATCAATCAGTCAAGTTAATCAAGTTCTTAATATGTTTTCAATGAACAGTCAAGAATCAAGGCATAACTCAGACGAAACTCTTAAACTCAGAAATATCTGAACTTGCTGAACATGCTCAATAAACTAGTCATGGTAATGCTAAGCAATAAGAATCTGTATCTGTACCAGAGTCTGAAGGAAACTTTCTAAGCAGGTGGAATTCTGTTCATATTGTACTGGTTAAATGAGCTTAAATCTCACAAGTATTGATGGAAACTGTCATTTTCAGACCAGGATGTAGAAATAAAGCAATGTCAAATTTAATCTGCAGGATGAGTTTTTATTTTGTGAAGGTCTCCAAGAGATGCTTCAGTATCTGGAGTTCATGAGTTTGTTTCTTTTCCTTCCCAGCAATATTTCTGTTCCTAAGTGATTAATTAAGCCAGCATTCAAATCAGGTCTTGATGGTCAAACATTAAGAGACAGAACTCCTGTTCTTCTTTAGACTTTTCAGGATTTTTTAGACTGTTTCCTGTATTTACATACATATAAGAATAGTTGCAGAGCTGTTATCATAACCCTTAAGTTTCCACTCCTGATTTCTTACTGTTTTTTTTTAGTTAAACCCAGTGATTTGTAAAAATACCATGGAAATAGCTGAAGATTATACATAGAATCATATAGCTGGCATTATTGATACAAGAATGATTTTCACTTTTGGATAGTTTGCCTATAGTGGAAGTAATGCCTCCTTTTCATACAGAAAGTAGAATTTGGGGCATATTTCTAAGTGGCTCCTTAAATCTAAAACCCAGTAATTTTTTGTCTTGGGTTTGATATTGCTCTTTGAAAAACCAGACCTATACAAAAAGAATAAATAGTTATATTCAGGACTGTAAATTCAGTTTTGCAAGCAAGATTAAAATTACTTCCCTGGTTTTCAAATGCAAATGAAAGATGCCAAAAATTATATTCAAGTGTGTGCTTTTAAAATCCATAAACCACAGAAAAAAACAGTGTATTGCTCCTCAAAGAACACTTGCTTTTCATAAGCCAGCGCTTTCAATCTCTCCCGTTTCTCTACCTGAAGTTCCATGAAGTTCATGTTCAGAAATTATGCACAGCATATGAATGAGGCAGGCTGAGAGGGCTGAACTCAGCCTAGAGGAGACAGGAGGGTGACCGAGGAGCAGCCTGCAGATTTTTAAAGGGCAGTTACAGAGCTGACAGAGGATTCTGATCTAGGGGCTCCCACAGGGACTTTCATTACGTTTCTGTGCCAGAAATGACCGTCTCCATGGCAGAGCTGCAGCAGTGACTGCGCCACACAGGAGTGAGCACAGCAGAAAGCAGGAGCAGGCTGACCTGGTAAACCACTCAGGGAACTGTGTGGCTGAGGAATAGACATGGATTTTTTTCTCCCTGATTGCACTACAGAGCTGCTAACCTCTGGAAAATACAGGAAGTGCAATGCCCTAGATTATGAGTTGCCTAGAGTACGCAGAGATTCATGGAGCTCACTAAAAACACTACATGTGACCTGAGTAGGAAGTACTTTAAACTTAAACCTGAGCTTTCTTTTCCTTCAATAATTAACAATTTTACTCTCATTTCCTGAAAGGCAAATAATTCAAAAAAATACATAAATTATCAGTATATGTATTTTAGCTCTTATATATTTTAATTTATCAGTATGAACTTCATACTAACCTCTGTGATTAGAGTGCCAATCCTTAAGATTTGCTTCTTGACTGCTATGGTTTCACATCCTTTTAAGAGTAAACTATGAAATTTGTGAAATTTTGACAATTTATATAAGATGAAATTTGTCCTGGAATGATATGAAAATAGAGATGTTTAGTTTCATCATAAAGTAGGTGTGGTAAATTAGTTTTTGCTGGCCCTCTTTATTCAGCATTTGTAAAATAGCTTATGGAAGTGAGGGAGGCTGAGGGAGGTTAACACCTAGGGTTTAAGTAAGTGAAGTTAGATTATACGAATTCAAGGTCTGCTCACAGCAAGATTTCAAATACAATTTTGTGTAATTTTACATATCAAGAATATGATGGCTGTAAATTCTATAGTGCTCTGTATTATTGAGGAGGTGCTGGTTATGACATAAAATATAACAGGGGGCCCTGTGTCACAGTTTGCACATGTAAAGCTTTGCTTCCTGGTTGGTTATGTGCCAGTTTGTTCAGAAGTTAGGACAGGAATAGAATCTACAAATCAGCCTTAACTTTAGCAGTGGATTTCAAGGAAATTATGAGACAAGAATGAGATCTGTACTGAAAGTTTCACCCCTGTTCTATCTACCCAGAAGAAGGAAATTAAATTTTGCAGTGTTGTGCTTTAATGTATTATGCTCATTCTACTGAGGAATCAAATGAAAGCTTGCATTCCTATCATGCTGTATTGTACAACTATGAACATGACTGAAATATTTCTAACATGGTATGAAGGTGACATGCATTACAAAAGCTTGAGAGAAGAAAGTACAACTCTAATGCAGTACAAAGTGTGTACTAATTCCATGAATATGGAATTAGTATACCACATTGAAAAATCTCATGTATTTTCAATATTTTCAGAAGTGAATTTTGGTTTTATGTGTGCTTTGCAACAGTTCATTACTTCCAGCCTTTGTGTTAGAAAACACATCTTTTTAACAGGCTTCATAATTCATGAATGTATTTCATGCATTTCTTGTACACATAACTGGATTATACATTTTAATTGGTAAATGCAACTCAATAATTTAAGATTATTTTAGTCCTTAAGATTGATTGCCCAGGAATTTATATTTGCTAATGGGCTAATAGAGCATTCAAAATTCCCTGCCATCTCTGTGACCAATTACAGCTAATTAACATCCCCCTAATTTCAGATCCAGAGTGTTCAATATTCAGAGTAAATTGACAGTGATTTAACCAGTAACCTAAAGGCCAGACTAAATCAAACCTAATGAAGCCTCACCAAATCTATGAAACCCAAAATTACCTACAAAATAGTAGAGGTGAAAACATAGAAAACACACACAGACACACTTAGCAGAATGAGCTTGCTATGTTGTTTTGATAAGTAAAAAAACCCATGGATACGCTCTTTGTTGGGGCTAATTTGTTTTGCTCAAATAAAGAGGCTTTTTAGAGACCTGTAGCAAAGGCAGACCTTTGTGGAGGTAATGCCTTTAGGAGTGGGAAGTCAACAGTGCATGAAGCCCCCATCCAATCAGATGCTTTTTTTCATTATATATCTCTAATCTTTTTAAGTTAACGCAAAATATCTGGCCAAATGTTGTGGGGCTTCCCATAGTAGCTTCTGAATAACACAGTCTGAAGTCACCATTTCCTTGCCTAAACCTGTGGTCATTTTTATTGCTGCCTTGCAGTCACAGATGGATTTTGTCTGGCCTTGGGGAGTATATAAACATTATAAGGAATATACACATATGTATTTCCTCTGCAATATCTTCTCACTGCAGTAACCCTGTTGGGCTAATGTTCACTGGAAAGTTTTAAGAACTGCAAAAAGAAGAGTGTAGGTATTTTTGCTCCTGTGTTTTATGACTATATATACACCAGTTTTTAAACTGAATATATATTTGCATTTAATCAGGAAAAAGAATGAACTTCTGGATTAGTTTGAACCACCAGCAAACTTAATGGAACAAACAATTTTTTCTCTTTTTCAAACATTCAAAGCCTTAGACAAACTTCCTACTCTGAAATGTATCAAAACAGTGCTATAGTCTTCCAAAATATATTTTATACTGTATTTATAAATGTAAATTCAAAGCATGATTGAACAGCTTATCTGTTTCAAAGTTCTTAATGAAGTTCTTAATTGAATTATATAAGACTTCAATTAATGTACCTAAAACCTACAAAACATTTTTTCTCTCTTCTATGAAAAAATCCTTTGAAGGGATTTAAGCCCAATTCCAGTTTAAAGAAGGGCTGCTCAGATGACATCTGGTTTCTCATGTTTCAGTCTGCAGCAGATTTCATAGCTGAGTTATAAACCCCTAGAAAATGAGTTTATACTGAAAAGGATGACAATCTATGAACTATTGCAGTATTGCAAGTGCTGCTTTCATCCCAAAAGGTCCAGTGTATAAAAGATAAATTTTGATAGATTAAACTTTGCAAGGTTATGCAGTTGAAAATATGAAATTCCAGAAACTGTCTCAATGTATAGAGAAGGATCTAAGAGAAGAATTCATGCTTAAATATGCTTCATGGGACACAAAACACAAAGCAAATTTCCAGTGCATATGTGAAATTTATAATTTTAAACAAACAAATCAAACCAGTAATTCATTCCAGTAACAACTTCAGTGATGCAATTCTTTGGTTATTTGCTATTGAAGAAATTGAAGTAACTCAACTAGAATCACCTATATATAATATATTCTTTTCAGCAATAGAATTTGTGACTTGTGAAAATACTGTGCTTCGTTTGACCACGTTTTTACCTTGTTGTGATTCACACTGTATTATCTCACACCTACAGCATATTGTTTCCCTTTTTAATGAACCCAAATTTCTGCCACATAGCAGGAGCCCCACAGAGATTAAACAACTCCTCACTTCACTCCTTAAGTCCTTCCTTTAGCCAAGAGACAGCTGAAAACATTCATTATTGCTAATGGTGTTTCTTCGTTTTTTTTTTTTTGTTGACCTTTCTGGGGTTCATGCTGTTGCCATCAGGTATAGCCACCTATGCACAACATTGCGATGATCCCTGTTTCCCACCTGGTAAAGACCTTCTGCCTGCAGTGTTCTGAATATGTGTGTGGATGATAACAAAGCATGGGCACGAGCAGAGGCCAGCACACGGCAGCACTGCTTCTCAGCTAACCCCAACTCCGCCGGGCTGGGGCTTGCAACAGCCTATTCCTCATTCTCTCGTCATGCTCGAAATAGATGTGACAGCTAAGAGATGCCCCCAGCCAGGAGAGTCCCAGGAAACGGTGTCAAGCTGAGGCACTAATTTTACACTTTTAATGTCCTTTAAAGGGCATTACAGATGCCCTTACCAATCTGAAGATCTGTGTTCTTAGTCAGAGAACTGAATCCATAGAATGAGAAAAAATAAAGCTTCAAATTATTTTAGATAAAATGTGTTTCAGAAAACACCACCTAATGAAGATCTGAATCAAAACCTTCCAGCTGATATTAAATCAAGTCATATAAACTACACTTAAAGCCCACCTTAAACATACGCTCTTATCCACACGTATGGCTATATCAAATGGACCTGAAATTACTCAATTACTTTGTGAAAGTTTGTGAATTTCTTTCTAAATTTTGGCAAGTAAATTCTAGTTATAACTGCTTCTTTGTTCACTTTCAGGTGAGGTTTCTTCTATGAACTTGACCTCAATATAATTATCTAAGGTTGATATCAGAAAGAGACAGCTACAGGATGTAGCCTTAATTTACAATATCTGTACTGATTAAACAGAAATTACTGAGAAAGCTGACTCTGCAGTTTTGGGACAGTTTTAAAATATAATATAATTAGAAATTCAATTGGTATTTTTATATTAATAATTCACTGGGTTCAACCAGAATGTTACCTGTTTATGGCTTAGAGCTATAAGCTTGACAGTCTATGAAACACACTAACAGTAAGACCTAAGGACAGTTTTGTTGATAAACTGGAATGTTACTAATAGAGGACTATGTGTATATTGAGTTCAGTATCTTAGATGCTACTTTTCAAAAGATCACAGAGCAGAAAGAACCGTACAAATATATAAACTTCCAACTTAAAATATAGGGCTCTATATTTATAATAGAATATTTTACTAAGAATAGAATATGTTTTATTGCTACAAGCTAGTGTTAGGCTTTTATATTTTATCAAACACAACAGAAATTCTCTGTCTTCATCAGCTGTACCTTGTCGGTGTCAATGAAGTAGTTTATATCTCATAGATCAATCTTTGCACCAGATAATTACCATAATTTGTAACTTAATTGCATTCAATTCACCAGAGTCAAAATATGTAATTGATGAAAATCCAACAATTATTAACTAATTTGCTGCGATTCATTAAAAAAAAAAAAAGGCCACCTTAACATAGGTTAAACTCTGAGCATACATTTAACAATTTGACAGGCAAAAAAGATTGATAGGAAACTACATTTCTGGCAGAGTTACTAAGACACGAATAATGACTGAAGTGATTTGCACAGATAATCAGTTAATCACTTTTTGTTGTGCACTTCACAGGAATAAATGACACAGACTATTAAACATAACCAAATTTGCTTGAGAGGCTACAGCAAATCATACTATGTGATTACTCAATTCTTGTATCCAAACATCACTTTTAAAGTACCCATTATCAGTTCTGATTGAAAAAAAATGGGTTTTCTGTTCAAAATTACTTTGCCACTTTATGAAAATTACCTTTTGTCTTCTTGTTACCAAGAACATACCTAATACCAACTGCAGGACTTGAGAACTTTGTCATTGCCTGGTTTCAAGGAGCTGTGTTAAGTGTGGGTTATTAATTACCATTAATGTTAAAAATTTGATTTTTAAATTATTTGGAATTAAGATTTTGAGCCAGAGAGACTTCAGAAACCAAGAAATTAATTGCTCAGAACTGTTCTCAAATTTTAAATAAAATTACTGTTTCTGTACCACTAATGCTAGAGAGCTACAAAGAATCGTAGCACTTGATGCATGGCTTCACATTACACAGGGAATTTTTTCAAAGTATTTAATACCCACAACACCTCTGAAACGATTTCTTAAATAATTATTTTAAATATATTTGCATATGTTTAGTATGGAAAATCCAAATAATCTTCCAGATATCTCCAACAGCTAACAAACATTTTCTAATGGAATTCAATTGAGTTGTCCTAGGATAAGATTTCTTAGAAGGGTGATATATAAATTCCTTCCATTTGATTGGAATTCTTCCTCTGTCAGCTTTAACTCTTCCAAATGTTATAATTTTCCAGAAAGTTCTGGAATTCTGATGTTTCCTCTGAAAACAAAACAAAAAAAACTGTTATTATGCTCACAGCAATGAACATGCCAGCACAAGAAAGAGGAATTTTTACTGAGCTGAAAAACATCCCTTATACTGTACCAAGTAATAAAATACTTTGACAAACAAAACATTCTAGCAATGCATTTTTGTGGAATCGGTGCTGTTCTGGAATGTAAGTAATTTATCAAAGGGGAATAGTTGTATAGACCTGGCATTAATTATGAATGCAAAGTTACAAATCTAAATGCTTAGCCAAAATGTGCAATAACAAGGATTTAAATCCGAAACTGTATCACTAACAGGATCCATGTCACATACCTCAGTAATAGGAAAATAAGGTGACACGTCCATGCTAATTTTTCAGACTTCCTTTCTAGTCAATGGAAAGGAGTGGGTATCTTGGAAATTGATTAATGTAACCTTAAAACAGAATTCAGAGGAAAGACAGACACTTGCCTTCTGAAGGTCACAATGTCTTTCTGCATTGGCTTTTGAGGGAGTTTAGGAACACCAAAGATTAAGTGTCCTTTCAGGTATATTTCATTAAACAGGATAATCTTAACTTAAACTGTGTTTAAAGGTAATTACATAGTGTCAACTAAATTCTTAATTTAAAATTAGTTAATCTAAATTAACTAATATTAATTGTATATTTCATGTCTGAACTTAACCTCCTCAGTAACCATTTACTTCCTTTCCCCTCCTTCAACAGGCATTTATTAATTGTTTACTATTTTATCTAAGACTTAAAAGTTGGCTCAATCCCTATTTAAAAGTTAAACAAAAGCTTAAACTTCATAAGTCTGTATCTATCTAAGAAATATTCTGAGAAATAGCCTCTTTACAGTTTAAATGCAAAATCCTGCCCCCTCTACTTCCAGAGAAATGGCTTTTATGTGATATATGATGTATTAATTACAATTTAGATCAATTATATTAATCTATAATAATATTAGTTATAGGTATTGATTGGTTACAAATTCTATATTACGCACCGTATGTTAGGAAAAGAAATAGATTGTGAGCTTACTTTTAAAATAATTAGTGTCCTAAGATTTGCTAAGAAATGAGAATTTGGATAGAAGACTGCTAATCCAGTCAAATATGTTGACTACAAGATGATTGTAAAAAAATCTCATCGTGCTTTCAATTGCTGGACATCTCTAAATTAAAAAATATGAAGCTCAAAGTTTGTTATGAAAATCAGCATTCTTTCAGCTTCACTTTTGAAGCAAGAGTATACAAATCTTCTGGAAATTATTGTCTTTATTTGCATGTGTGTGAGGTAAATTGAATCTTTCTCTGTACTTGTTAACACCAGAATTGTTTCATTTCCTTTGTATTTCATTCTATTAGGGACTTTGTAGCACCTGGTATTGTCAAAATTGTTGGGAGAACTAAAAGCATGGAATTAATCAGTCTTAGTTTTCACTTCAGCATTACTTGGTGTGGTGTTCTTAAGCATTTTAGAACACATCATTACTATTAGCACTACTCTTAAAAATGTTGGAAATACAAGTTAAACATAAGATCTGTGCATGAGGACATAATTTTCCAGGTTCATGCCACTTGCATCAGACCTCAAGTGAGCTCACAGTATCTGAATACACAATTTCATTTTTCAAATACCAATAAAGTGTCCTCTACGCAGCCCCAAACTGATTTTTCCAAACTTTCTATGTTAAACAGGATTTGCAACTTGCGCCTGTTAGCATAGGCATGACTGGACACACAATTTTGCCTCTGGACACTTATAATTTCTAATCCCTTTTCGTAGTGTGGTATGAAGATGTTATGAATTAAAGACCAGGATATGATGTTGAAGACTGATTCATCAGCAAAGATGGCTTGCCTTGGGGTGGTTGGAATAATTTCCTCTGCTCTTGATCTTGCACTTCTCTGAGCCTTTCCCTTGCCTGCCCAGGAGGGACAGCTCTGCTACCTGTGAAGCGGAAGCAGTTCTTGAGCTGCTAGTTGATAGACCAGTTAATTAAAATAAATTTATGCCAATTCTTGTTTAGTTTATAGCTGTAGTCCTTGCAGCTGTAAAAACCTGTGGCTGTAAAAGCAACTGAGCCCTCCCTAAGCAACCAGTGGGTAAAAGGAGGGTGGATAGCCACACTGAAAATCAAGGCAGCTGTCCAAAGTTAAACCATCCCTGCTTGTGAATCAAAATCTTGATTATGCTAAGAAACCTCTGGCCACGTCTGTTCTATTAGTCCACTCGGACCCCTTAGCACCTCTAGATTAGAGTAAAGTATAAATGGAATCAGGGGTCAAGTCACAGATTTACTTTTTAAGAGCTTAAGTATAGGTATTCCTTCTCCTGGCTAATGCTTGAGAAGACAATTTGTGGCAAATCACTTGAAAAAACTAAATCTCTACATCTTGATGCATGAAGACAATGCAAATAAGTGTCATTCCAAACAAAGTAAATATTTGCTGGTTTACTACTCAATCTTTCTGAATAAAATAGTGTGCACAGCAGTGCATTAAATTAATTTCTTTACAACTCATGTGTTTGCATCATGTCATACCTTTAATTTATTTGATGTGTCTGATTGTTCAGCAGCACTTACCTATATAATACAATATTCACAAAATATTAACTACAATATTTCTTTGGTCTGCGTTATCAACAAGCAGATACAAACCAATAAAAAGTCAGCCTGGTCTCTTGTGTTTCAGAATAATTAATTAGAAATAAAATGAACATGAATAGAGATGCATTTATATTTCAAATAAAACTACATCTAAGTTTTGTTACAGCACTTTAAGAAAATAGTTTTTCATACTGCTGTCACTGAAAAAGTTCCTTTAAGCCTGCACTTTGCATGATTTTTAGCCTGCAAGTCCATGTGAGACTCCTGATTTTGGCTTGTGAGTCAGAACACTGCAATCAGAAGTAGTTCTGAATAGACTTTAGCTTCCTACTAAAATCTTTACCTACAGAAGTATGGTTCCCACCTTGATAATGTTAAATTCAGGGTACATATTTCTATTGACACTCCTAGGAACAAGGCTAGGTCAAACGTTCAAATCACATTTGCAGTCTACCTTCAGTTGTTTATATTTGTGGAAAAGCTTTGCACAGACCAGGCAATGACTCAGTCTGTAGTTTCAAGTACAGTGGGCAGTAACATAGACTGAATGAGGGTTTCCCCTCTTCCTAAGCAATGTTTGGTACAAAGTTCAAGAAACTAGAAAATTGCTGTACAGAATGGTCAGAAGAAGAAGTCTGTCAGAGATGGGAAAGTTCCTCTGAAGTAGTGTGTCGTGTACAGAGAAATCTGGTGAAATCCCAATTGGAAAAGCCTTTAAGTGAATACTAATATGAGCCACTGATGGCTGCACTACCTGGGTGTGGATACAGTGGGGAGCAGAATTCTCACTTCCTTCAGAGGTTCAAGACATGAAACTGCACCACTTCCTTGTTTCCTAATTTGCTTGCTCACAGAGCAGTAAAACAAGAACAAGTTAAGTATGCACATGTGCACAAGTGTATGCGATAGAAATTCTAGAAAAGCTGTGAGAGAAGAACCAGAATCACAGGAGTATGAGTTTGAAAGCAGCTGTCTCTGTGCCATGATTTGCATCCCTGTTTATTCTGAGCTCAGGTTAATTTTGGCCTGAGTATGCACAGCTTTCTTCTTCCCATCCTCTATGTGTGGTTCATGACAATGATGTGATCTGTCTGTGTAGCTAACCTGAGACTCACCCCAATTTCTTCAGCCAGGACTTGTGTGAAGGAAGGAGCTCAGCAGGGAAATACAACACGAGTGGGACTGAATCCTAGATGGGCCTCAAGAGGCAGGGGATCTGAGATTAAAAACTGGGCTGAACTGAAGTGATTATCTAAAATGAAGAATTTTAGAGTGAAATCTATACTTATTTTTTGCCCAACCAAGCCCTAGAAGGAGAGCCAGAACTTGGAGTACAACATCAAAACAAATTGTACAATTGACACTGGGTCCTTAATCACTCTGTGAACAGCAAGTGCAGTAAGATGCAATTTATACCAGCCTTCCACAGGAAGAAGAGCTGTTCTCAAATGCTTGAATAATAAAAATTAACATTCACAATCCTTGTTTCTGCTAAAAGAGGTAGTATAATTAGTCCTGTATAAAATGAAGATGAACTTTTACTACTGAAGGAGTTGTTTGGTTTGGATTCTTTTTTCAAATCGCTTTTGTTTTAAACTCTGCACTCAGGAAGATCTGTTCACAAGCTCAGCACAGAACCACTGAGAATTATTCATGAGACACTGGAAGAGTCTTCTGATTGGATTTATGGCTTTTTTTCTTTACTGTCTGACATCGTATGGAGTGATGATGATGACAGTGATGAAGGTATTTGTAATGTAAAGACTTCTGTAACTGCTCTAACTGCTTTTTTACACGCATTAAAATGGCTTACTCAGCTTTTAACATCACAGACAAGAAGGTCAATCAAAAAGGAAAAGAGAACATTGTTGCTAATAAAGCATCCACTGGCTATTCCAATCAGTAAATTGGTCTCTTTGTTAGTTTTCATCTCATGTTTAATGTACTATTACAGAAAAGCTGTCAGAATTAAATATTACCATTAGTACATCTTGAAGAAAAGAACACTAATTTATATACAACTTCAAAGCCACAACCAAAATATGCATGAGGATATTGCTTCAGAGAATGGAAATTACTATTTTCTTTTAATCAGCAAGAATCTAAAGAACCCTGGAAAATATACAAGACACATCAAGAAATTTAGAACTTTTTTCAATCTGGTATATTGATAATGGGGCAATATATTGAAATGAAAAAAATAATATAACATTTCAACTGAACTTACAGGATTTTGGATGGCATATTGCAAATAATTCAGTTTACTAGAAATTATTTTGCCGTTATGGTACCATTCTTCATCTGACATGATTAGACAAATGAAAGTAACTTACTAGCATTTTGATTTTGGAAATAACTCTCCTTCTGTTAAAAACAAAAACCAAACCAAAACAAAAAAATAAAACCTAGTCCCCCAGTATGAGCAGAGACTGCTCACATCCAGTAGTGGATCATCATGTCACATCATATTGGTCATTCTGACAAGCGATAAGTGTAGGAGTGACATCTTCATTTCACGGTAGTTTATTTTATATTCCATTTGGCTACACCAGAATATAATTAAAAAGTGACATGTACTGAAACTGACTTCTACCCATTTGTTCAGCAACCTGAGATATTACCAAGTGTTTACCTTTTAAATATGTGCATGAGCTTTTTATATTAGCATCATCTATGAATGCTACTAGATAGGCTGCTACATGTGAGTCTGTGAATTGGGCATCCTATTCTGAGATGTGATTTATAACTAGCAGAAAGCCAGTCTCTCCTAAGGTTGACAAACAGAAAAGATGAAAAATAGAGAGCTTGATAAAATTTGATCAGTGTGCATTTTTAGGATTTCATAGCTCCCAAAGCATGTGTGAACATTCAAACACTCGAGTGTCTAAGTGTTAATGGCAGTAGGAAAAGTCATAAAATACCTGACAGACAAAAATTCAAGATCTGATGTTCACTAGATTTGGAAACCTTAGCTCTGACAGTGTTTTGCCCAAGTGGAAGTTCATCATCAACCAGGAGTGTGAATAGGCAGCAAGGCATCTTACTGCACTGTATCATAAAAAATAAGTGCTTTGACGACCCTGCCCACCCTGTGCTGTAGTCAGTGCAGCTGAGGCTGCACACTGGCCAGTCATTCGGGATCACTCCTTCAATTCCATGTCCTACATGGAGCTGCTATAACATATTGCAGCAATCAAGTGCTTATGGTTACACTGAAATGGATTATGTTTTGCCTTGGGTTTCACTGGAAGCATTGCTAGATTTACAATCTTACTAAATTTCATATATGCTTTATTTGGAATTTAAAAAGAACCAGTGAGCCTTTCCTTAAAATGTGGAAACATGCATAAAGAAAAGCAAATTTTTAATTTTAGTCACGAGTTAATATTCAGAAGCACAAATAGATGTTTGGATATTTCCTTAATTACTACTGCACCTTGAATTTATCTACCCAAAACTCTATGGCAAGCTAGATTTTTTAATTAAAAATCCAAAATCTCAGAATAGATGCCTGTCATTTAGCGTATAAAGAAGAAAAAATATTTTTTTGAAATAAAATGAATCAACATGAAAAAATGTGGGCTTTTTTTTTTTTTTTTTTTTTTACTTTGTTTTTTGAGTTGGTTTTGGTTTTTTGTTGTTTTTATCTTGGTTTGGTTTTGTTTGGGTTTTGTTTGTTTGGGTTTTTTTTAATATTTTCTCTGATATCTGTTTTTTTCTCTTGGTTTAGGTGAAGTGGAACCTTCCCTGAAAAAAGGTTGGTCAGTTGCTTAACAATATTTTGTAATCTTTTTAAGAACGAACTGTATATCTGTGATATAAATTCTGACAATAGTTACATGGCACTCTACTAACCTTTTCAGTTGTGCTCTAACAAACTCATTAAATGCAAAACACAAATAATAATATTTACTGAGCTGGTTTTTGTAACAATTTTTAAGAATCCTTTATCATTTCATTTTTCTTTATTATTTAATTATTACAGAAAATCTGAAAAAAAAATTCATATAAAAATAGAATGGCAGAAATGTTATTTATATCCTTGTTATGCTTTTGGGGCTTCTGTTAATGCAAAGGAGTTATAGGTATGTCTGTATAGAAATAAAGTTCAGGAATAATAATATGGAAAGTATATTTAGTGAGAAATAATGATGAGGTACTGTCAGGCATTTTACCTGAAGCCAACACACACCCCTAAAGAAAGGACTGTGTCCTAATTTTCAGAAAAAATTACTTAGTTATCACTGAATTTTTAAAGCAGACAAGTGAAGGAAGTAGGATTTATGTTATAATCTTTATGGATATTGAAATTGTTTTGCTGAAACATAAAACTTATATTCAACTTCTATTAAATCAAAATGCAAACGTATTAGAAGGCTGGAATTACTGATGATAGAATGTAAATCTTTTCAAAACTAGGGTGTGTTTTTTCTCCATATTGAGCAAAGCTCAAGAATAGTAGGATATGTAAGCAGCCCATGTGAACTGAATTTGGCATGCATCAACTTCTCAAGGGGTAATTGCCCATATTGAAGAATTTATCACCCCAGTTGCTTCTGAGACTACAATCCAGTTTTCTCTGAAGTTAAATGGAACTGGATCAGGCTTCTATTTAATGAAATAACCTGTCAATTTCAATCTGCAATCCAAGGAATTAATAGGCTTGAAGACCAGGAGCAGTTATCATTCTATTGACACCTCCTCGTGTTAGGAAAACTTACAGACAGTGTAGGAAAAGATTCCCTCTCTTTACTTCATCTAAGAACTGTAAAACCTTTAGCCTTGTCTCTTTTCCCATAGAGGCGGGTACATTTTTAATTTTAGAGAAGATGCACAGAGTCTGAAGCTGTAGCACATTGCTGGCAAGCATGTACATGGGTGGAATGTGTCTTCTCACCACAGGCCAGTGTAGGGGCCAGGCTGAAAGTGCTGTTACTTCATGGCTAGGAATGCATAATCCATAAAAACTCTATGGACAGCACCACACTCAGCATTGCAATCCTTCTCTGGAAACCAGTGATGTAGCCCTTACCCATTGCATTGGGGCAGAAAGATGTACAAACAGAATTCAGAGAAGTCTTCTAAACAAGCTCAAGGCTGCTTAAATGGTAAGAAATTGGAAGTTACTGTTTGGTTGTTTGGACCTAAAATTGCTCCATCCAAGGAGCTGAGTATCTAACTGCCAGCTGGGAATTCTTTCCCCACTATTCAAAGCTCCTGGCTCTGGACATGAATCCTGAGTGGTTTTTCTACCTCTGGTATAAAGGAAATGGACAAGAACCTGATGATTTCTCCATATCTGGTACTTACAGGGTAATGCAGCCACACAGATGTGAAAAGGCCCAAATTCAAGCATGTTTCACCTTCCAGAAAGTAAACCAAATTTTGAGTGGGCTTTTCCACTCCCTGAATGTGTGCTTAAGATTCTCCCTCTGTCTTTTAGCATATAAGCATTCTCATGCTTGTCTCCCTGCACAACACTTTCTCTTTTCTGTGCCTGCTGAAGATAGCACCCTTTCCTGTCATAAGTATTGTCATAAGCTTTCACGTAGCAACATCCCCAAATAACTTACCATCTCCAGGTGTTTGGAGGTCTCCATTTCATCCTGGCAGCCAGGATCTGGCCCTGTTTATACTTGATTTTGTCACCACTTTTACTGAGCTACAGAAATACAACATATGTGGCCTGAAGCCACGAGTCCCTTGGAAATGCCAGTGCAGTGTCCCCTTGGTGACAGGCACATCTCAGCCACTCAGAGTTGTTCCTCTCTGCAGACTTCTCTTAAAACTGTATAAACATCAAGGAGCTTAATTGCCAGGGTCTAAGGCGAAACTGAAACTTTCTGAGAGCTCTGTGGTGTAGTCTAATGAACAGCTTTTCTGCTTAGGCACCGTGAAATTCTCTCCCAGCGCTGAAGGTCATGAGCACAGAAGGCAGAGCCCTGGGAGGTGAGCTGAGGGCTCAGGTGAGCTCCTGCAGGTAGCACTCTCACAAACATCACAATATGTTCCCCTGAGCACAAGGTGTAGATCTTTCCAAGCAGCTTTTCTCAACTAATTTGTGCTGTCATTTACATGGTCCATAAATAAGACTTCCAGAAGAAAAGCTTCCTAAAACAAAAGAAAATAAAAGAAAAGAAACAAAACAAAATAAGACACAGAACTGGTGATTTTTTCCATGTTGCTGCTGTTAGGGCTGGACCCAAAAGAGGAACATCTATACAAATAGATCTGGGGGGTTTTTGGGTGTCAAAACGTTAGTTAGCTGTATGAAGGATCCTTCTTTAGGCGACACTGGCATTTGAACATTCTAAACAAGAAAAAAAATACCAGTGAGATTGTGCAGTACACTACTGCTGTCTTCAGAATATGAACAGATTGACATTTTTTCACATTTTTATGGAAAACCTTTCTCAAATTTCATTCTGGAAATGTGCGCTATGGTTGCTGTGCCTGGAATTTAAGAGTTTGTATTGGATGTAACTCGCAGTTATTGTGGTATTCATTAATAGAATTAGAATTTTTGAAAAACTTCCATGTCTGTTCTTAGTGAATGGACAAGTCCTCACTGTAGCAGCTTTTTTGAATGCTAAAATGTCTGCACAAAATTTACTTTATAATGTAATATAGTAACTGAAAAAATAAGATTGCTGATATCACAATACAATTGTATATTGGAAAAAAATTCAAGGGGAGTGGCAAGGACATTGTCTAGCCATGAAAGAAGAAAAGTCTAATCGTAATTATGATCCCAAAGAAAGAAAAGATCATTTTCCTAGAGATGTAAATTAAAAGCAAAGATAATAGAAGTACAAGTAATGACAATGGGCTTCCACAAGCAATGGGATTAATATCAGTTTCAGAATCCTTTGAAGATATGAAAATATCTCTCAAGCACCTTTTTTTATTGCAATTATTTTTGCCAGTCCAAGTCTTATCACTAATATTTATCTTCAATAATTAGAAAAGAATGAACATTTAATATTGTCTGGCAAAGCAGTATTCTTCAGTGGACATAGAGAAAGATTATGCTGGCGGGGACTTTGCAGCCTTTAACAATGCATATTCTCAACATACAAAAACTGTAGGGCATTTTCACAAATGGTAGACAGGTTTAATTCTTTCAGGCTTAATTTGCTTTTTGTTTCATTTTTTTCTATAACAGTTATGACTGATAGTCTTGTTCATTTTTTCAGGGTTAGTTTCACCTTTAGAGACATATTCTATTATTTGAGACCTGCATGCCTGCATGTTTTTACCAGAAATTTTTGCTGTAAAAAAGAAAGTGGAGGGTGTTTTGTTTGTTCGCTTTTTTGTGGGCACTACTGGCCTCAGCTGTGAGTTCGGAAAAGAGTTGAGAAAACACAAAATTGGAAATAAAGATGTGTAAATAGTAAAGTACAAACATTCAGCATTGAGAACCATACCTATAAAGGTCTTTATTAAACTGAAAATAATTTTAATTTTAATAAATACTATTCAATAAAAAAGCAGAGGAAGAAATAAAGCACCATTGTGACAGTTATCCATCTCTGTATTACCAAAATTTTTTATTATTGGCATAAGATTATTCTTACCAACAATCAAAAGAAGCATTTCCTTCAGGTAGAGATGGATCTCTAATTTTCTGTGAGTTAGTCTGTACATGAGACAGAAAAATATGGTTTTGACTTTTTTCTCAGGGAAATGTGATTTAAAAAATCATAAATTATGACAAAAAGCCAACACAGACTAGAAATTTCTGTTAAAGGTCACATGAAATTTTGTAAAAGACAAACTATTTGGCAAAGCACCTTATCCATCTGTCTTCAGTTCCAATGAGAGTATCATTGCCAGAGTATTAGGCTGGTTATTAATATGCTGAAGACGCATCATGCTCTTAAAAGACATGTCAGCTTCTAAGGGGATTGTCAGTTACACTGACTCAGCCCCAGCAGCTCTGGCCAAGGTGTAGTTCCCCCAGACCTGAGGCCAGATATCCACTCCTATTAACCCCTTCTCCACCCCAAGTTTAAGCCAGTCAGAATTTATCCATCACAGTCTATTGGCTTGTTCAGACCTGGATATTGATCTGTGCTAACAAAGTGCTCCCAAATGGAAAGGTTCTCAGACCAGACAATTTCCTGCATAGTTTTTTGGTGCAGTGATCAAGTAAACAACTTTTTAGTCCTACAATTTATCACGTGTCAGACTGTTTTTAACTATTAAAGTACCTAAGAATGTAGGATTAGAACAAAAGCCCAGCTGACTTGGTGGATGGGACAGAAGTTCTTATTGCTACCCTAGAGTGACCAGTGCAAATGCCTCAGGAAGTATATCAGAACTATTAAAAATATAGTTATAATTTCCCAAGAGAGCTTTCCATACTCCAAGAATTTTCCCCAGTGAAGGGACACAGTGTTTGCATGGCTGTAATCCACAGCTACAACTTCTTGTGAACCCAAGGCTACAGACAGTTTGGAAATGAGCTAGAGACAATAAATTCAGAATATCATAAATGCAAACTGAAAATTGTGTTGGCTGTGTAATTGTCATATATGTGTCTTAAAAAATAATTAGATAGTTCCATTCATCCCTAAAGTATATACCTATTTGTACTGATAATGCCTTCTGAATTCAGTTTCTTTTATGTTGCTGTATGGTAATGTTCACTTCTCTGTATATGAGTTGCTATTAAAGATCTCACTAAAAGCCTTTTGCTGTTTCCCTAGGCTACACTTTGCTGTAAAGCATTTTGCATATCTTTGTGTAAAGTGC